CATACATACATACATATGTGTTATAATTCTTAAAAAATGTATCAGGATGAGTAACCAAGTACAGAATGGTTGTCCTCTCTCAAAACACGTAAGATTTATGCCCGCCCGGTCCTTTGGAGCCATTAATTTTATAATACACTTGTAGCCTACATGTCAGCTGTAACAACCGATGAGCGCTAATAAAATTATGGCTAACACTACAAATATGTTTTATGATATCATTCTGTAATGCCGCTACCATTAAATCTTAGGTCGTGCTCGATATATTGGTTTGTATGTTACGAAAGTCATGTATTTTTTGAAATATTCCGTCCTTTTTTGTTAATATTATTATTGAATGTATGTAAATTTTTAAATCATGTAGGCTATGCGTTATAATTTACCTAAATATAGATCGTTTTAAAGCTTTTTATGAATACATTGTAGATATTTGTAAGTTGATTAATTACGATTAAACTATCAGTGTCACGTTTACTCATAAACTCGTACTAAATGTATCACAATAATAAAGTCGACGAATGTTTATTAATTCGTAATCTTAATATTAGTATGTGTCGTGCTTTATGTCTTTCATCCGTCAGCTTATCGCAACGGACCTATTAATTTTATATGTCTTTGTTCATTTTAAATGAATTATTTAATTATGTTGTTTATTTTAAATGAATTATTAAATGGAGTTGTTTATATTAAATGAATTATTAAATGAAGTTATTTACATGTTATGAGTATTGTTTATTTATTGGTAAGGAATAGGATAGTGCCAAAATATTGTAATACCGGATTATCTGTAACGAGGGAGGATTCATTGAATCCAACAGCTGTTGGCGAATCGCCATCAACGGTTTACGAGATCGGGAAAATTCAAAGTATGCACTCTGTATTCAACTTGGACGATATAACATGTGCACTCATCCTATATACGAAATTAACTGTATGCGAAACAGGCAATGCATGTCCTCGTTATGAAAGTATAGGAAAATTTTACATGAAAAAATATCTATGAATTCATTTTCAATGCATTTACGAGCTGTAGAAGTTCACGAATTTTTACTCTCATAATTCAATACATTTTTTTATTATGAAAAAAAAAATGATTCTAATATTTAATATATGTACCGTTAGAAGTCAAATGGTCTCCACAATATTAAATCCCATTCCGTACATCGATTCATGAATGCAAATAAGCAATAATCTTGAAATACAAGTAATTGTAAAGCTCATTGATATTAAATAGATTGAATTATGATTAATAAATGCTTGTATTATAATCCGTAGCTAATGCTAAAGGTTCAATGGTATCAAAGAGACGTTATAAAGATATCAATGGGGATTTAGGTATTCAGTTGAAGATCAAAGTGAATATACTTGGCAGCTATAATTTACTATTTGCAATAAACTCGGCTTAAGATGTTTCAGTTCATTGAATATATTGTTGTAAACTAGATATAATTACATATTAAAATTGTTTATGATAAATAATATGTGACTTCTTGGTTTTGAAACCAATGGTGATTTATTCGTATAGATATTTTTCAATTCTCAATCGTTAAAAGAACATAAATTAAGTTTGACTGTATATGTAGACAAATTTAGGTAGAGTTTTTGTCTTTTCTTCCCGAGTTACAATCTCTTTATTTCTAAATATTCACAAATTTTTGAACTCATATAAATATCCGAAATTGACGCTGAAATTATATTAAAAATGCACTATTAAGGAATTTAAATCAGAGCGCGAAAATTAATGGATAAAACGACTTGTATGTAATATTTATTTAGTCACAGATTCTATTTCTTTTCTATATATATATATCATATAATTCATCAATGAAATCTTAATATACAGCCACCTCTCGTATCTAGGTTGCTCAGAATTTCCTTTACATTGAAATGAGTCCTTAATCTGTTATAAATTACCTTCGTGGTTTAATACGGAAACAAGAGGAGATGGCGCCACTATCGAGATTATTCATCATTTTAGTGATTACCGTAAGTATTATAAATTAGCTCATAGCTATTATAAATTGTTTATTATTGCAATATTATACATATCTATAAAAAGAAATAATGGCTATATTTTAATTTTGTTTGTTGCGTTTGTAATCGAGACAATAGTTTCAAAGTGATATTTTTTATCTACAACTAACACTAATGATCATGTTCTCAGTGGTTATAAAAAAGGTGATAAACGAGAAAACGCTTACATTTGATTTATGAAGCATTAGTCCAATTAAAGCTTTTTCCCAATTACGTGGATAGTTTATGCTTGTTTTTAATGCTGTTGAAGAATACCTATAAATTATATTAGGGTTGGTAAAAAAAATAGTCTTTCGTATTTCGTATTTTATTATGGGATGGCAATATAAGTACAGTAAATTTCTACTAAAACATAAAGTAATGTCCATTTGATTGGTGAGACTAAAATTTTGATTTTGCGGTTAGAAAATTTTTGTTCTCTAACATCCACATAAGTCGAGATTTGTTATCATCTGCAAAATAACTTTGTAATTACAAAACAATCATTATTTGTAATGAATAAACAAATTATTTTATTTCTTTATATTTTGCGAAATAACGGAACATAAATAGTTTTATACTTAGTTTCTACCGACTTAAAGTATTTTTACCAACAAGGGTTGACAGAGCTCTGGTTTTTGTATTAATCCAAGCTCGATACCTGTTATACATTAATAATGAAAGGGTCTTGAAAGATGGACGGATTGACACACTGATTAAAAACAAAGTGATGATATAGGATGTAGTGGATAACAGATAATAATTTCGTTTTTGCTCATGAGATAAGGAACCCTAAAAACGCTAGACTTGATTTATAAGGCGTGATTAAATATTCAGTAGACGTTTTGTAATCGAATGTTGTAAATTACATCATTAAATAAGTTTTTAAGTTTATTTAATCAAACCTATTGATATATTTGATAGTATCAACCTTACGTTAAACGATCAATATATTTCACACTTAATTCAAATTAATAGTATGCAGGCGACATTCAATTAGAGGCTTTGATTTATACTTAAACATTACTAATTAATGACATATACGAGTAGTGTCATTTGTATAATAGTTTACTATTTTGTGAATTAAGTGATAACAAGAATATGTTTGATTAAAAATGGTAAATAGTAAATTGTTTAAAATGAAAATAATTACGTAATTATAATGTATTTTTTATTTTTTATATATCTTCACAGCTAATGGTGTGTTAACAAGCTAGCGTCGTCTAAAATAAAATAATAAAAATGTCTTTATTAAAATTCCAAGTATGATACATATATGTACTGCTAAATCGGCGCCGGCTTTGTCGTAAATACGTTTTAATGGTTCATTTGCATACGAATAAAGTTATTAGTGGAAAATAAAAGGTTAGAGCTTTTAAGTTACAACAAAATAAATGTAGAATGACCATTCCGAGCGAAGTTAACACCGAGTTAGCGACGATAACTGTTGGAGTAAAATTTTAAATTTATATTCCTCCAAGTGATATGTAAATAAACTTGTCATTCGTTAATAACCAATGTTAATGTTCCGCCATTTCTTGTTATCAACTATATATATATATATATATATAATAAATACGTATGTTTGTGTGGGTCTGCGAATAAAATTTTGTATTTATTTAGCTATAAAACTGTAAAACGCTTAGAATACTTTGAGACCCGTAAAGATATTTAATGGTGAGTTTTAAAGCGAACTTCAAATTAAACGAGTGAAGTCGCGGATAGAAACTAGTGTTTATTTAAATGATTGAACTTATATGTAACTTAATGCGTATTAAATTTGTGCAATATGAAGGTTTAAATATTAGATTGTATGTAATGATATGTTTAATGTAAGAAATATGATATTTGTTTTGTAAATTATGCCCTTAATGTATGTAGCGAATGTAATATCTTGGCAATAATATATTAACAAAGAATTATCAAAATAAATAAGTGTTTCAAAATACTGGTGTAAATTTTCACACCTATATTATGTACCTATGTATGTATGTAATACTCACTTCTTAAACGAACGTATAAGATTAATATTACAATGGGAAGCTTTATGATATTGAAATAAACTGATATTTATCTTCTTCTACCTGGCAATTTCCCAGCTTTAGCAAGGGTCTGCCTTACATGTTGTGTATAGTTTTGGCTAATTGTTTTTACGACCGGCCGCCTGCTTGACATCAACCCTCTTTGGAAATGCATTAATCAGTCAGTGTTATTTATATTCTAACATAGTTATTAAGTTTCATGAAAATCCGTATAATCTAAAAATAGTACAGCGCAACCACATTTCGTGATATCAATTGGATTCATAGCTATTGCCTATTCGTATATAAATGTAAATAAAGTTGTGTAATTTGGGACAGAGATTATTTATTGCTTGTATTATTAACATACTTCGTGACATTGACAACTCGCGTCTTAAGAACACAATACATAAACAATATGAACTTATACAACAATCCATGAGATAAGAGCAAAGAATACAGAGTCATTTAGATAGGTATTCTTATGACAACATTGTATTCCATCGGACAATAACGATTTGTTACTGAAATGATATACATTTGTTCTTTTTTATTTCATTAAATATGTTTTTATTTTATCAATCAAAAGAAATTGTAATGTTCAATATAAATTTGTTATAAATATATTCATGTATACTTTTATATACACTTAATCAAGTCAGGGGACAATAGCTTGATTGGAAAAATCAACTGAATCCTTCCGTGCTTATAAAGTTTTGATTCCATATCTTATTATAAATTTTTTTGTTTGTTTATAGTATACACATATTACGTGTTTATGTCACTCAATGAAAAATTATCAACCCTCTGGTAATTCAATTTTATTAATTTTACATTGAGTGTAAATTTGATAGTTTGTATATCAACATCACGAAGCAATGAATGCAATGAAAAAAATAAAGTTCTAACAGCACCTAGCTTCAAAAGTTTTAATTAATGATATGATATGATATGTGTTGTGTACAGGTGGTAGGTGGTGAAGTATTATCGGTGGTAGGTAGTCGCGATGTTCGCTGCGGGCGGCGTCTTGTGTCAGGTCTGTTCGCACGGCCACGTCTACCACTCGGCTACTCCTATGTTACCACCGTCCCCTCTGGCGCCTGTCGGCTAAACGTCTCGGAGATACTCGCCAGCGATAATTACATTGGTTTGTATTAAGTATATTAAAACATATATTATTTAATTGTTTTAACTATATACATAGATAAACGTAATTCAACTTCATATTACTTTGTTTTGTAATTTATGAAATTAGATACAGTTCTTCTAAGCAGAAACAAAATTCCAAAGTAACATTTAATTCATCCTAATTTTGAGTTACTATTCTAAAAGCATCATCTTTGTATTTATGTATAAATTTAGCTTAGCTATTCGTAGATAGAGCCAGAACTTTAGTTTCATTTGTCACAACAAGACAATATAAATCAAAATATTACTCGAGATTTCAGGGTCACGTTAGCACATAATAAATTAAAACCATTGAAATAACAATACAATACAATCCCTGTATGACAAAGTTCGCGTTCGCCAGACGTGCATTTGTTTGCAGTCAATGGTCCTTTGATGAAGGCAAATGGCCCGCAAACATTAGTTTATTCAGTTATCAACATACATACGTTGTCCGTGGTATTGGTCGTAAATCATTCTTAAATGCAACAATAGATTCGCCCACCGTGTTCTGTGGGATTACCAATAGATCTGTAACCTTCAAATCGATTCAGTGCTGGCAATCAATTTGCTTTTAGCGATTCTATTATGGTAACATTAAAGACGTGGTATTATTTATACCAATACACGAACATGGCTCTAACGATACAGAGGTCGTGTAAAATTTATTATATAAATATTGTAGACTTTATTAACTCGATGTGTTTGAACCCGGTTGGAGGTTAGGGTCAGTGAATAAGATACCTCGAACGGGAATTCAGGCATGTTAGTTTGAGAAATGCTAACAAGCTAACAACCTATGAACATTACGATTGCCAGTTAAATATTGTATACAAGATGCGAAGACTCTGACACGTTCACATATAATTGTATTATAAATATTTATTCGTCGCATTTCGAGTCAAGACCGGTTGTAGAAATTAATTTCTATTAAATTATGACTTGCCATTAAATTAAAACGTGATTAGTGTCTGAATTATTAGTTTTTAATCAGGCTTATTTATGAAGATTTATTAAATTATAAAATTTTGGTTTGTAGCTTTGAAAATAACAAATGGTTCGTTTATAATGAACGGTGAATTCGCCGTCAGTAGTCCCGGTACTTACGAAGCAGCTGGTGCAAGATTCGTTTACAGCAGAAAAACAGGTCTAGATTCAGTGTATGCACTTGGACCTACTCACGATTCAATCGATATTATGGTGAGAATATTAATCACACTTATCCATAGAAAATGATGTGTAAATGTACTATAGTATATTAAAAATAAGACGTATTGTAACTGCTAGTGTAACCTTCTTTCAGATATTGTACACTCAACCAAATCCGAGTATAAAATACGAATATTTTACGGAATCACTGCCAGGTGAAGTTGAAACAGAGTCATTAACAGTGTCTCCGCCAGAACCAACTGTCGTACCCAAACATTCGAGACGTCATCATGGTATTGAATACGCTAGAGCCGGTGGAACCAGACATCTAGAGCCAGGAGTCAAAGAGAAAATAAACATCGAAGAAAATGTCGTAGCTGGAAGAAAATTTGTTTGGAAGATACTTGCGTATACTCAGTGTTCAAGAAGCTGCGGTGGTGGTATTCAGGTATTGAATGATCCAACTTATCTCTTCGGTATCGCAATTGCGTGTTAATATATATTTTTTTTATTTTGTAAAAAAAAAAATACTTTCTAAGCTAGAAAATATGTAGTTTGCAAAAATTAAATATGTAAGATACTATATCAAGCCTTAAAAAATAGCAGACAAAGACCATATTATTATCGTTTATTATTATAGCTAGGAAAATACAGGTGCGTTGAAGTATCTTCTAGTGATAGGGAGGTGTCTCCAGCACATTGTTTGGGTTCCCCTCCGCCAGGCAGGCGTCGTCGTTGTGGAACCATTCCTTGCGCTCCGAGATGGCGAGCCGCTAGCTGGTCTCCATGTCCAGCTTGTGGACCAGCTACAAAGAACCGTATCGTTGGATGTGTACAAGATCATTCGAGAGGAATTACTAAGGTAGATAAAGTTCTTAAATTACCTCTATTGTTTCTATTGTTGCTTTGTTTTAAAAATAGTTTTACTAAAATTGTCATTGTAAAAGGTTTTTTTGCCTTTACGTTCATTATATTTAATTCTGAAGACATTTTAGGTTAGCGATCAAAAATGTCCGGCCCCAAAACCGGCGACCACAGAAGCTTGCAACATCCCAGATTGTAAAAACCCTGGGATACGCCACACAGAGCTGAAGCCCCAAGAACATACAGATGCCTTCCACGATGGTTCAGTGTACACAGTCGATGTTAACACCACTGATACGGAACTTGGACCGGAATATAGTTTTACTTCCATTAGAGGATGGCTTTTCACTGATTGGTCTGAGGTATGATCATTACTATTATTTATGAGACAGTTTCTTTAGTCTTCATAATATTGTCTAAATATTCAAATGCCTGAAATTATTCATCAGGAAACGCCATATTATTTCACAAAGAACTGTTTATTAATTAATTTATTCACTTATTCTTAAACTGGACTTGAGTAAAGAAAAAGCTAGTTATATATTTAAAATATAAACTTGTTAGTGTATATCTTGTTTGTAGTGTGTAGGATGGTGTGTGGGCGGTGGTTTGAAGACCAGGTCTGTTCGATGTGGTGATCCCTCAGGTTGTGTAGGACCTTCCCCGGAGACATCACAAGACTGTGTCCCATCAGTGCCATGTGAACCCCATGATGGCCGCTGGTTTACAGGTTAGTTTAATATATTTGATTGAGGATTTTAAAATTTGAACCCATTTTAGTTACTTTAGTAACATGATCTACAAATGCATATATATTTTTTATTTACTGTAGCAATAAAGCAAAGAAAAGAGAATGTACCATAAAAACCTCCTAAATTATACTTATCTTAGTCTCTTTTTAACAATAGTTATAAATAAAACATTAACCATATAAAATAGACCTCCATTTACAATGATTCTTTTGCACGATCATTTGGTTCTGTTCTAGGGGACTGGTCGAAGTGCTCCTCCCCTTGTGGGAAGCAGGTCCGAGTGGTGTTATGTATAGGAGGTACTGGAAGGCATCTGAGAGACTCCGCCTGTAGGGACCCTCGACCTGAACACGAGAGGAACTGCCCTGGAGAATGTCCAGCGACGTGGTATTACAGTGACTGGGGTCAGGTTGGTTTGTGTATGAAATCTATTTAAAAGAATAACTTTCTCTGAAGAATCTATCGTTATCTTTATTCACACAAATCACTTAAGTATTTGAAAAACTAGCAATCTTTTTATGTTTGGTTTTTGTTAATGGTGGTATCTACTGTAAGGTGGCCAATATATAAAAAATCCTTGTTTATTATATCAATGAAAAATTAATTCAATGTGTAATTTTTTTATTTGGTCTAAGTAATAGCCTTAGGTTCTATTTTTGTTTCTATACCTTAATAATTTCTATCTTCAATCCGATTTCGAAAAGTAACAAACATGTCATTGTAAAGTAATCGAAATTCAATAAGTTGATTTTTTCTACTTGCCCTAACTTCCCATCCCTTGCTTACATTAAATTTACTTGTCATATAATTCTAATATTATATTTCCATTCTCATCGTTTAGTGCACAGGTAACTGTAGTATTGGTCTGGGCGTCCAACGAAGATGGGTGTCATGTATAAGGAATGACATCACCGTCAGTGACGCAGAGTGTACGTCACCATCACCATCACCACATAGACCCTGTACACCTTCATGTATACCACCAGATCTCGTTATAGGTAGGTGATAGTGACGCTCTAAATACTTCAATATATAGGGATTACCACTAAGCTTATCATGCCGCAGTTTCGATATTGCTATTGGAAAAATTGTTTGGAAAAGTAACGGATACTTACGCATATTGGTTTATACATTTAAAAATATTTTTGGATTTATATAAAAATAATATATTATTATGAGTCAATATATAAATAAATATCATACGTCTGACTATTAGTACTCCTTAGTACTACTACTTCTTGTATTTTATCCCCACACAGTATTAAATATTAAAAATATATATTTACATGTTCAATATAATTTTCAAAACGACGTTGCATCTATAACTGTTATATTTAATTGTTGCATAGAGTTTAAATTTGTAAAAAAATATTAAAACTATCGTTACATCCAATTGATGAATTAATAAAATACATTTCGTAATTATTGTTGCAGAGTCTCAAAAATCAACGAACGAACAAACGACAATAAAGCCGAGTCTACAAACAACTCCATCAGGCAAAGGTGATTATTAAATAAAAACTTTGTTATATGAATGACATTAGTAATTAATTTTTAAATAATTCATTACAGAATGTGAGGACAAATTGACGAACTGCGCTCTAGCCGTACAGGCGAGACTGTGCCATTACAAATACTACATTCACAATTGCTGCGATTCTTGTAAATAAATCGATTTTAATATCGATAATTAAAATCGATTACACAAGTATTAGTATCAAATACATGAACAAGATATAATGAATTTGATTTATTTTAAGTAATGTTATTGTGGATTGACATTACCAATAGCTGGTGTGATATTTAAATGAATTTTATGATAAATATCATGAATTAACTTTACATTTATTTTATAATAATTATTGATAATTTTTGTACTGATAATGTAAATAAAATAAAAATGCTTCATTTAAGTTGTGTAACATTTATTTATTTTTTTTATCGTTCTACGTCCAGTTTAATAACTTATTCTATAGATCCTTTTCGCAAGAAAAACAATGATTTTCAATATTTTGTATTTCGTACAAAAGGAAAATATTTTTATTTGCTCTTAGAATTATTAAAAGAAATTATTGAAATTATATTTAAATAGATTTTAAATTATGGTTATGGAATATAATTAAAAATAATGAAATAGAGCTTAGAAATACATATGTATAAATAACACCTTTGAAAAAAGGATTAACTATATATGGCTACACATCTTCTAATATTTATAGGATTTAATATTTCTAATTTTGTATTAAAGAAATTTGGAAGAAATCGACTCAAAAGCTTCACGAGTAAGACTAGTTGTTTTTAGCGACTCCACTCACAATTGGATGTCTATAATGACATTACAGTCTGTTACGTGTTCCTAACTAGCTTCATAATATAATAAATCAAAATTTGACAAGTCTTTTAGTCGTCAGAACTTCACAGACAAACAAAAGCAGAATCTCTTATTCCATTTATAATATTGGCGTTAGTTTTAAAATACATTAGAGCATTATTTCATATTTATTAAAAAACAAGTGAAACTTACTTTTAAACAGGTAATAGATGTAAACATAAAAATAAACAAGTGCTAGTGTTTAAAGCTTTTTATTTTTTGTACGTTGTTACACGCGTTAGTTCAGACATATGCTGGTAAAAATAAACCAATTAAAGATATTGTGATGGTATAAATTATTGTACTTGTTACCTAATACATAAATAATTACAGCAAGTAAATAAATGCGCTATACATAAAGTAAATATTTACATATGAATTGTCATTCAAAACAGCGTTTGGTATACATTTTTCGACGTACATTTAAGGATCATTAAATTTGGATGTCAAATACAATCCGCAGTTTATCCTATTTAAATTTATTCTATAGATGTGATTAAAAAGATTTATTATTGCTATCAAAATTCTCTGAGTGATGTGTTTTTATGGTTCATCCAATGCCAGTCCTTGACTTGTCGATACAAACGCTGTTACAAATGACGAATCGTTTTACAAAAATCAGGATCAATAAATAATGAACACAGTGTCATTGTTTCTAATCTACGAGAAACATTGTTCTTTATGTATTACGAATACTTTAAAAAAAATAACCTACAGTCTATGACTAAACCTATAAAACAGTATCCATGGTTAACTAATTCAGCGATAACACATTTTTTTTGTTGAATCTCAAATGTTTAATATAATTTAAAGTGAGAGATTTAAAACGAATTTATATTTTAAAATCGTGCAAGTAATATTTTTTTATTTATCTGATTCTGATCTAGGTAGGTATATCGTGTTTGAAATATATTTATTAAGATATAAGAACTGTAAAATTGAAGACCAATTATTAAAAAGTGTAATACTAGAGATCAGTACTTATCCTACAGAAATACAGATTCGTATAACATCATCAGTTCTATAAGATATATTCGAATAACTCTGAAAATTCATAAAACATTAAGATAAAAATTGCATGTTAAACTACTATTAGTTTTATTGAGAATTTTATAATACGATAATCTTCATGCGTATATAATGAATTCACTCGGCTCATTAAACTACACGTTCATACATTTGTATCACAATACTATGAGTCAACTCCATACAATCGGAAGTTACCTGTAAATGAAAACAAATTTTTCACACCACCCACTTTATTAGCACGTGAGCTCTAAATAATTGGCTCTACATATATATGTTTTGTTCATTAACAATACCATTTTGGTATTTTATATAAAAATTACATAAAAGTAAGCGATAATTTGATATAAGGTTCATATTTTGTATCGCATATATTGTCAACAATTATAGTCTATATAGGATTTTACTAAGCACTATAGCTCGTAACTACAGGAAATCCTCATTTAGTTCATACGCTAACATAAATATTATTACAGTTAGATGGTTCTAGACGTCAAAAGCGCTTTTATTTGCTAAGTCAGCAAATACTAGACTCAATCGCCCATTTAGACATCGAGTACACCATGAATTATACGTTATTTGCACTTATTATTTTGTAGTACGCGAACATCTAATATTCAGATAAAGTAAGCAATTATAATTGCCAGCAATTCCACAAAATACAGGTATTGTTATCATACAATTATTCCCATTATGACGTCTGGAATAACATGGAATATATACCGAATGTGTGGGCAATAAAGCGACTGAAGCGATGAATGTCAGCGCTGTTTTATCCAATACAACCTACCGTCTACCGTCCGTGACAGGAGCGACAGCAGCTGTCAGCGTAGTAGCGGTAGTGACAGAGACGCGCTTGCACCGCTAGCGAACAATTGCTCAACTTGTCAGTACACGTTCCTGAATGATATAATAAATAATAATAATATTAAATATTCTGTGATAATTGAAAATAATATTTTTTTACTGCCAAATAATCCATTCATGTTTTACGATCGGAAAGTATCTTTATTGCTATGTGGATCCTTGAAATAATGCAAAAATTCTATAATCTGTTTCATAAATATTATTTACAAGATTAAAAAACTGTTTTATGTTTTAAACAAATAAAAGGCAAGTTAATTGTTAACTTTCATCTTTCTTTTGATATAAACAATTTACTAAGATCGTAAAATCCCCGTCGGAATAAGAGCAAGGACGTGGCCCACTTTATTTTATCCTCGAAAATATTTATCGCAACAGTATTTAATTAACATTTTAAACATTAATATAATTTGTATTTTTAAATATTAACAATGTTATGGAAATATTAAATATTGTACGAGTATATATATGAACTCACCGTTTCTATACGACCGTTCTTTGACGTTCTGCGTGTTTTGACTTTGATGTCTCGTCACTCGTTGCGGGTCTGTAACTATAGAAAAAATGTTCACAAGCTATAACGATAAAAGTATTTTCTTAAAAGAAAATACTTTCGACATTAGCAAAACATATAATGATGCCATAGCTTAAATTTACAACAAAGTTGAAATGAGAAATATTTAATATACATATCTATATGTATAAAATATATATTTTATCACTGTAATTTTACGACAAAATATACATTTCATTGGTAGAAAATATGTTTAACAATTGAATATTTTAATTAAGAACAATTTGTATTTTTTTTTAATTATTTGTAAATCAACTTTTTTTAAAATATTTTTTAAGAATAGGATTTAGTAATTATTACAGGCTAAAAAATATGAAGTTATGTTTTGTGCTAAGCTATAATCTGTAAGTTCATATTAATTTATAGAACATAGGGAAGTGATATCAATTTCAATTCAATTCTAACAATTAAAGAGAGGTAAAACCACTTATGTCCATCAATATCTATCAATTTGTCTTACTCCTTTATCATAATACTTAATCATAAGCTTACATAACTACATCTTTATCAATAAAAATATTTAGTTACAACTTACCTGTATACTAGTTACCTGTGCATACACACTAGTTACCTGTGAATGTAATATTTAACGTTTACCTTCTAAATAGTTCAAGTATCAAGTTACCTGTGGGTGTTATCACGGCCGGCTTCACCGGTCTAGTTGTGCACCTCGCTGGTACACATGACCTCCTAGCTGGTGGTCTTCCTCCCCCACACTCCAGATCCCTGGCTGATCCAGCGCCCCCCGCACCCCCCGCCCCGCCACGAGCACACCACACTGTACGAGTCTGAATACCAGCCTCACAAGGACCCGTGCACTAAAGACGTAGTGTAATTCAGTAATGTATAACAAACAGGATTCTATTACGGGCGGTGTAAAGGGATAATACTGATAAGTAACAAGTTATGAAGAAGCTTTAGTTGGACTTGCACTGGAGGGGAATATGAGAAGATTTTAAATTTGTTTTATATAGACAGGTTTGCTCGTAAGATTGACGAGCTTATCTACCGTTTCGTCATTCTGAAGTCGTGTTATGAAATTCATGAGTAGATTTTTTAAAATATTAATCAGGCTAACATTAACTAATTTCTTCTAAGAATCGTGGAAACCACAAAGAGACTACAACTAAGCACTATAGTTGCTTTTCTAAGTTTGCTATATGAATTATAACAGCACGTTTATTTCTGTAATAGTTACCTCCCCCCAGTCACTAAGATACCAAGATGGTGCACAGGTTCCACCGCATGGTCTTTCGGCTTCAGGTTTTGGTGTTTTGCATGAACCATCTCTCAATCTTCTTCCGTTTCCTCCGATACAAATGACACCTCTTATCTGTCTTCCATCACATTCAGCGGTACATGGAGACCACTCTCCTATTACGGGAAATCAGAAACGAAATGATAAATTTAAGAGTACATGTCAAATGTGGTAAGTTATACAACTGAAAGTTAGTTAGCTAAGATTTTTAAGGACACAAAATAAAAATGAAAGACAATACATACATATTATACTAAGCAATGTTTTAGTTTAGGAAGACTCATTAATTTCTTTGAACAAGAGCAGTAATATAATTGAAATTTTCTAGCGAAAATCACAATTGTTGGCAGCAATATATAATTATTGCTTTGTATTATGGTACATTATAATGAATATATAATATCAATTATATATCGTACCAGTAAACCATTGCGGCTCACATTGTTTCTTCGCCGAGCAGGCCTGTGATGAGGCCGGGGCGTGGGCGGAGCACCCATCGGGCTCCGAGCAACGGACGCCGCGGGACTGAACACCGCTCGAACACCAACCGACACACTGAACACAGTTATTATAATATTAATATATAAAATACAAGTAAATAACTGTTTGAGGCCCTTCAGTTACAATGTGTAACCTGAGTATAATAAAACAGTAAAAGATCGCACTACTCTAACGGGGCTTGGTAGATTAATATAAATATACTATATTTATATACTGTGTCTAATCTTCTAGAAAATCTAAATATAGAGGGATCCTCTCTTCACTTATAAAATTTGCATAAATATAATTGCTTGTGATACATACAGTCATTGTGATTTAGTTATTGACTGATGGTTACTACTCTCATTTACCACTGTTCACTCGAAAATCTAACGAGGATTTTCGAGTTAACAGTGTAAACTGTACTTATTTTATAAATATGATAGTAAGCGTTGCAAATAAAATGTTTTATGATTAAGTTATAATACAAGGTTTTTCTTGAATTCTATCAAAAAAATGTTATACCTGAGACCATTCAGTATACAGCCATCCACCAGCAGCACTATGAGTGTACTTCGATTCATGTTTTGGATGAACCTCGATAGCAGATACGTTGTTAGCGAGAGTCACCTTTGGTTTTGTTTCATGGAATGCATCAACACGTTCGTAAGGATTTACGTGACGTCTCGCATCAAGACGTGGTGTGCTATCTGTGCTAGCAGTACCATCACAATTCGGTATATCACATGGTTCCTTACTTGGTGGCATAGGTAGGGGACATTTTTGATCGCTTATCTGAAATTATTGATTATTTAAAAAAAAAACTTTATTCAAGTAGGACTTGAAAATTGTATAATATATGTACCTTTGTAATTCCCCGAGCATGATCTTGAACACATCCAACTATTCTAGTCCTATGAGCTGGACCGCAAACAGGGCAGGGACCCCAAGCGGCAGCCCTCCATCGAGGTGGACAAGGAACAACCCCACATCTTCTACGTCGAGACGGTGGTGGTGATCCTTTGCAATGAGCAGCAGATACTTCACGGTCTTCTTTACCATCTACTTCGACACATTTAAATTTCCCAATTTGAAGACCGCCACCACAAGTTCTTGAACATTGCGTGTATGACATTACTTTCCATACAAATATTCTATCGCCAATAACATTCGTGTCCAATTGATATTGTGTTTCAGACGAACTCGCTTCTGGTTGCTTCGACAAAGATGGTCCAGACTTTTCTAGAGCCCTCGTATGGGATTCTGCCACATGGTGGCGATGATGCCTTTGCATCTGATGATGGGCAGAACTGCTAATATCATTCGGAATGTCGTTGCTCGTTTCATCAGGCAGCGAATCGGTAAGGTATTCGTATTTTATGTTCGGGTTTGGTTGCGTGTATAAGACCTTAAATTAAATAAGTTATTAGCTTTTTACAAGTCTCAGATAAAATTAAAATATGAAGATGTGGTTACCATAATATCAATGGGTTGATGTATGGGTCCCATAGCAAATATATTGTCTAGTCCAGCAGATCGAGAGTATACAAATCTTGCACCCGCCGCCTCGTATGTACCAGGTGCACTAACAGCAAACTCACCGTTTACAATGTATGAACCGTTGGATACTCTTAGTGCTAGAATAAAATATACATAAAGTTTTTATTAGGCTAATTACTTTAGTAGAATATCTATCTAATGCGCAGCTAAATGCATTATGATAACCGACTTGATCTCAATGTTTACGGAACAATGGTTCATATCTTCAAGTATAAGGAATGCGTCATGCAAATAATTAACCACCAATTGTAACGGCTATATCCATTTATCTCGCAATTTGCGGCGCAGGCGCCTCTATTGAATCGCTTTCAAAATGCGAACATGCAATTTCCATTAATCGATTTGACATCGATCTTTGGTCTAGCAGTCTTCATCTCTCAATTAAAATGTGTATCCCGATGCTCCACAATAGAGTAGTTTTAATAAGAATTTATAATTATTGAAGCATTATTGAAATCAAAGATATATTGAACGTCCTTGAGAACAACATCTGTCGTTTGCTAATTTACTTGTAAGTACGTATACAATTGAACCGGCCTGACCGCGTTCAATCAAACCTTTCTCGTCTCTATGAAATTATTTCTTTACATTTGACCTAATTTATAATGATTTTCTTCATTCGTTAATATGTCACGACCTACTTCGTATTGGGACTTAACAAATCATGATATGACCTATTCAAACACATACTTTTATTTAATATGACGGATTATTTTAATGAAATTAAAAGCAAGATAATATTACGAATAGGAAAAATGAAATTAAGATATTTTTCTCATATTTTCGTTGTCCTCGTACTAAATGTGACTTACCGATGTAATTTTCACTGGCGACAATTTCGGAGACATTAAGTCTACAAGCGCCGGTTGGCACTGTGGTGACAGAGGAATATCCCAGAGGAAGACGAGGTCGGGAGAAGAGACCAGAAACAAGGCGACGTCCACACTGGACGTCTCTCGTCGCAGTCGATGCTAGAACCTCTTCACGACCTACCACCTGAGAACAAGGAATGAACAATTAAAGCTGGTTACAATAAAAACGATTTCCTGAAATAACATAAGGGTCATGTACAGTGTACACACTATAACATTTCAAATATTGAAATATGTAAAAGTCCTGAGATTGTTGCAATTTCGTGTTATAGAAACAATATATATATAATAAAAACAATGATATTTTTCTTAGTATAAATAAAGTTCATGAAATTTTAATATTTTATCAACGAAAAACTACTTTTAACTCGAACCACCACTTTTGTTTTAATCGAAAGGTAACCTTAAAAGGAATATATCCATATTAGATATTTAATTTTTATATACCCACATAATACGTAGATAACAAATCATCAATTTCAAATATCTAAGTTTCAAACTCAAACTTTAACCGCCGTTCTAAATAGGAGTTAAACCATGAATAGAATGAAAGAATTTATTTAACGCAATATTAAATTATGTACGCTTTCCATCATGATCTACGTACCTAAGGATTAACAAGTCGCCGGATTACACGGATGTCAGGAAACACACGGAGATATGTTTCCTTAATTATAGGAATCCCGGAAATATTCCTTGTATAGTGATGCAAGGAATCAGCTCAGTATGATTTAAAATATAATCTCAATATGATAAAAAGTATATACTTTTGCTTAAAATGAATTTGGACCGTAGTAATGATAATGCTGTTTTATTTTAATAAGATTTACAGATAAGCAATTTAAAAATAGCACGAAAGAACACATATCGTGATTACAAGACATCCACAAGATAAAATTATTGATCTGCGGCGGTGTGATTGAAACATAATATGGCATGCGTAGCGAAAGATCTACAATTTAATGTGTTCTTTGACTGGGAGTATTTGTAAGATGCAATTTAAAATAAGGACCCTTAGAATACCTCAAAGGAAATGTTATAATCAAGTTGATGACGGAATAATCTGACTAGTTATTAATATAAAGGTATCCAAAAATTCATACTTGTTTCTTATGGTTCACACGTAAAACTATCAAACTCTTGCTGATCTACTAAGATTAATAAATGAACTTAAAAATAATACGTTGTCATATTACTAAGAAAGTAATTCGTCTGTTCAATAAAACATTGTAATATAATTCCGACAGTTATGATGATGGTACCGAATAATTAAAAAGCGTGTGACACAAACATAAAACTATAAGAGGGATTTCGTAACATTGATATGACATTGGTGCATGAGCATTAGCTTAGTGAAATCACTTCACAAGTGAGATAAACGAATCTGTAGGGCCAATGAATGGAAAAATTCCACACTTTGACTGACGCTTGATCATACCATATCCATATAATTTCTCTAAGAAGATTAAACGTTCTACAAAGATGTCAATATATTATACATAGAACTTTAGTTACGACTCAATTAAAGTATAGTTAATAAATGTAACCAATCTTAAATCTGATCTTGACTTTATTTAACCAAAGAAATTAAGAAGAAAATATCCGACAGCTCATTATTATAAACTGTCTTTGTTATAAAACACGACATGTTAGATTGACGTCTATATGTGAGTTAAATTCAATATTAAGTGTTGGATACAAAACCAGTTCTTAATGAAATGGATGCATTAATATAATGACAAGAAGCACCATTCGCCCCCATAAAAAACCCACACTCTGTTGGTCAACATCGAGCAGTTAAAAGCCTAAAATATGAGCATTGTCGTTTTGTTCTATCAATCCTTTGAGATGCCGTGTCTAATAAAATTCTTTCTTTCATATAATTCGAATTACTCGAATTCTTTGACACCCAGGTTATCTTGATTCAACATTATTTACAGAAAATTTATTTTTTGTTTTGTTTTTATGAGTTTATAATGTCATCATAAAAATAATATGAGTTTTAAAAGTTTCAAAATATGTGTAATGGCCTAGAATTTTTATTTTATTATAATGTTAATATAAATTTCAACTTGTAAATTTTTCTATACGCTTATAAATCGGCGATATCGAATATCTTAAATTTAATTATGTAATTAAAATGCTTTGATTGTATATTACCATAATTTTTAATTATGTTTATGTTTCTTTATTTTGTGAATATTTTATAGTTGACTCATTGTTTTCCATAATAGACTAAACTTGAACATTTGTTTCAGAAATCAGCTGTCTTTATTACAGACGTAAATGCGTATGTGACTTTATTACATACAATTGTTTACATTTATGGTGCGCCGAGACACGGGCAAGGTCGAAATATTTAGGGTATGCAGTTTAGTGCACAGACAAAACTACTCAAACTAAAACATACGTATAGAAATAAAAATAGAATTATAAAGAGGAAATTTAAACAATACCGTAACTACTTTATATAAATTATAAAGAAGATTCATTAATTGCTGTAACTAGACCAGTTGACATTCCATTATCATATGATATGAGGTTGGCTCTGAAATTATAAATTTATTATCTCCGCGCCTCCCTCGGCACCGTCGTCATTACGTACGCTGGTTCCAGTTTGAGAAGATTGAAATATTCATCTATATATCAAATTATTAACAGAATCAGTATGGCCATTTGGTTCATGTCCATCTAATTAATGGAAGGACATTTCTGGACGGCATCACATCTGATCGCTTTATGTTTTCTCTTAACTCTAAATGACTCAAAATGCAAATAAAATTTACATAATATTGATCACACGCTGTTACAATTGTAAAGGATAATTTTGATAGAATATCTAGGTCGTTCAAACAATTGTATCAAATAAGTAGAATTCTAAATTAGCCATTAAGGTGGTTCATATTTAAGACAAAAGTGCTAAGAAGTGTGACAAAGAGACTATACAAATAGAACTGTGTAATGTATAGCCAACTGGGTCGCATCTTGTTTATCGTGTAACAATATTACTCATTTAAATTGTGTAAATATGTAAAGTATTAAAATACGAATAATTATTATGTAATAAGTGCACGGTCGAAGTATTTAAACAAAAGTGTCTAACATTAGACAAATGAAGACACAATGTAACTGTCATTAACAGCAATATCTCTGGGTATCAATCTGTAATCGGATGAGATTATGGCGAAAAATTATCTAGCGAAACCTTTAGAAACTAATGTTTAACTAAGATGACAAGGATCTTTTTTGTATTAACTTGTTTATTAAATGTATTCATATTTGAGAATACACGTTTTATTTAGCTTAAGGCGGTCTGTAATATCGTTGTAGAGACAATATCCTCATAGTTAGTATAGTAATTTACACTAGTTAAGCAAACAATAATTCGTGAGTAATCAATAGATAGTTCGCACGGCTTGGAGCTGGCTACGTGATATCCGTTCTCGTGTAAACAAATCTAAACAAATCTCTTGGAGATGGCGCCAACGTGCTTTAATAAATATAAACAGAGAATACGCCAAAAACAAAAGACAAACGGATAATAAAACAAGAAAAAAATATAAGTAAATGCTTTATAACCGCGCGGCATTTGACGATATTGTTGATTTCCTGGTACTAAAAATGAACTAACAATTTCAATGCCAAACTTTACGACCGGCAAATGAGGCAACAAACTCGAATGTGTTCCTGATGATTGCTCAAGAATTTCATGTTTAAAAATCTCAAAATATTTCAGATAACATCCGGTTCATTGAGGAGCTGAAAGAAACATATATACAATGTTTAAATATCTACTGAATTGGTATCCATACAACGTTATGCCAATCTCAGCTTAATTTGAACAGCGTACGAAGTAGTCAATCACCTCTTGCTGAAATAAAAGAAGGCGAGTAATGACCACAGACAGTTGACCCGAATTGACAAAACATACAAACGGTATGGCATTCACAAATTTTCTAATCAACACTAGACCACATTTGAGATGATGATGATTTAAAATTGAATGTCTAGACGATATAGCCGTTCGCTGTGATTTACACGTATCCAATGATTGTTAAAACGTACTTGACTCTAGATCAAAGACAAATAGAACAAATTAACAGTTACTTGATAGTCACCTCGACTTACATGCGAATTATATACAACTCTGAAATAAATACGATCGAATTTCAATGTTAAACACATCTTTATCGATACGTTATTAATATGGAATAATTATTTTGACTGAACATACATATGTATATACATATTTGTCTTAGGCAGCTTATGATATCACTATTGTTAATTTTAAGACAGAGTTGTAATATATTGATGAAAATAAATGGGGTTATAAGATGAAATGAATTATTATTATATATTTTTAAAATATACACAGTATATGTAGATAAAACTAAAGAACCTCTTTTTTTTCTTTCTATAAAGTTTTTTGTAAAGTGTTGAACAAAAAATCAAATTCAATTAACACGAGTAAATTAAATATATACGTATTTTTTTCTTACTTACCATTATAACGAGAAGAGGTAATATAACGCCCACCATTTTCATTGTTTGAACACTTCCTTTTAATATCCACTCTTACACTTCAACAAACAGTAATTTGTCAGTAAAGAATTTAGATAGCACTTAATTATACTTCTTGATGTTCACAATCATCAATCTTAAAATTCAGTATGTTATTATTAGTTATATAAATATTGAAATTATAAAATATACATACTCGTAGTTAAAGTAGATATATTTATACATTTATACTTTTTATATTTAGTATTAATAATAATTTATCGTTAAATATACATATGTTAAAGATCTCTTTACGAGTATTATTATTATAACTTAAAAGAGTTTCATTTATATTGAACTACACAGCTCAAACAATAACGAAAATATTTAAATATACTCGTAGAACGCAGACAAAAATATCAAATGTATATATAAGTAATTAAGATGATATGTTTTATGAAATATATTTATACTTTACTCAGTATTGAAAAGGTATTTTTATGTCATATGTATAATGTATATAGTAAACCAGTCTGCGGTTTTCGTTGCTTTTAAAAAGCTTTAAAATTTCTATTATAATTTTAAGAAGAGAAAATTTATAATTTCAAATTAGTTATATTTTTT